ACTTAATTATCTCAAAGGGTCTGAATATCTCTAAGGTTGTGGTGACTGATGTTGCACTCTCTGACCATTCCTGTGTTTTCTTTGAGAGCTCTATTTCTGTTCACAAAAATGTTCAAAAAGAGGTAACCACAAAGCGATATTTAACTGAAAATACTAGGGAAATGTTTACTCAGAATTTTTCTTCCACACTTGCCCCTGCTAACATCTCAGTAAATGAGCTAGTAGATCATTTTAATTCAAAAATTAAAAATGTTATAGATGCCATTGCTCCAACTAAGGTAAAGGAAGTGTCTGGCAAGAAAATATCTCCATGGAGAAAGGCCATGACCATGAAAACAGAAAAAAGAGAATGTCGAAAAGCTGAACGCAGGTGGCGAAAAACAAATCTCCAGGTTCACTTTGAAATCTATAAAGAGAGACTTGGCCTTTATAATTTGGAATTGAAAAAAGCACAACAATCGTTCTTCTCTGACATCATTACCAAAAACAAAAACAACGCACGTGCCTTGTTTGCTACCGTCGACAGACTAACTAACCCCCCAGTGTCAGTAGCCTCTGCATTTCTATCCACCAGGGCATGCAATGACTTTGCCTTTTTCACTGACACAATTCAGAAAATCAGACAAGCAGTCAGTGCCTCTGCATCAGGAACAGCAAATGTGTTGTCTCTGTGTCCACTTAACATCAATTCAAACACCATGACACAATTCCATCAGATTAATGATAAAAACGTAGAGGACATTATACAACTTCTGAAATCCTCCTCTTGCTGCCTTGATATTATTCCAACAGGATTTTTCAAAGATGTTTTGCCTTGCATGGCCTCAGATCTACTTCATATGGTAAACAAATCTCTTCACTAAGGTATTTTTCAACAGGCCCTGAAAACTGCAGTCATTAAACCGCTCTTAAAAAAGAATAATCTAGATGTTTCAGTAATGAACAATTACAGGCCCATATCAAACCTCCCATTTCTAGGTAAAATCATTGAAAAAGTTGTTTTTCAACAGTTGAGTAATTTCTTGCATTTAAATAACTGTTTGGATGTGTTCTAGTCAGGCTTTCGTCCAAACCACAGCACTGAGACTGCTCTTGTAAAGGTCTTTAATGACATCCACTTAAACACAGACAGTGGCAGAACTTCAGTGTTAGTATTATTAGATCTCAGTGCTGCGTTTGACACTGTTGACCACAGCATATTACTAGACCGACTGGAAAACTGGGTGGGACTTTCGGAAACAGTTCTAAATTGGTTTGAATCCTACTTAAAGGACAGAAACAACTTTGTTTCTATAGGTAAATACACATCTGAGTTGACAAATATGACATGTGGGGTTCCTCAAGGCTCCATCTTGGGGCCTCTTCTCTTTAACATCTACATGCTACCACTGGCTCAGATAATGAAAAACAACTAAATAAGTTACCATAGCTATGCAGATGACACACACATTTACGTAACAATTTCACCAGGAGACTATGCTCCAATTCAAACACTGAGTAAGTGCATTGAACACATCAATGACTGGATGTGTCAGAACTTTCTCTAATTAAACAAAGATAAAACTGAGGTAATGGTTTTTGGAGCCAAGTCAGAACGTATAAAAGTTAGCGCTGAGCTTCAGTCTCCAATGTTCAAAACAACAGATAAAGCCAGAAATCTAGGTGTAGTCATGGACTCTGACCTGAGTTTCAACAGTCACATTAAAACAGTTACTAAATCAGCATACTATCACCTAAAGAATATATCTAGGATTAAAAGACTAATGTCACAGCAGGATTTGGAAAAACGTGTCCATGCTTTTATCTTCAGTAGACTCGACTACTGTAATGGTGTCTTCACAGGTCTCACTAAAAAATCTATTAGGAAGCTGCAGCTGATTCAGAACGCCGCTGCTCGAGTCCTCACTAACACTAAGAAAGTGGATCACATCACTCCTGTTCTGAAGTCTTTACACTGGCTTCCTGTGTGTCAAAGAATAGATTTCAAAATACTGCTGCTGGTTTATAAAGCACTGAATGGTTTAGGCCCAAAATACATTTCTGACCTCCTGCTAAATGATAAACCATCCAGATCTCTCAGGTCTTCAGGGACTGGTCAGCTTTCTGTCCCCAGAGTCAGAACTAAACATGGTAAAGCAGCGTTCAGTTATTATGCTCCAAATATCTGGAACAAACTCCCAGAAACCTGCAGGTCCGCTGCAACTCTGACTACTTTTAAATCCAGGCTGAAGACTTTTCTTTTTGTCGCTGCTTTTAATTGAACTATTCATATCTTAGACTGCACTGTAACTTTTATCCATGTACTTTTTTTCTTAATGTTTAATTGAACTATTCATATTTTAGACTGCACTGTAACTTTTATCCATGTATTTTTTCTTTTAATGTTTATTTTATTAGCTTTTCTTTTTAATGACTGATTTTAGATGCCATTTTCTTAATGTCTTTCATTTTTTGTAAAGCACTTTGAATTGCCTTGTGTTGAAAAGTGCTATATAAATAAACTTGCCTTGCCTTACAGGAACTAACAGGCCTACCAAGCTATGCTAAAATGATTAGTCCAAGACTGACTCCCTTTCATAGCTTTTTATTAACACTGATGAGAATGAGGCTTAACTTACCTTTATATTTTTTTGTTTATGTTTTTCATATGTCTAAGAGCAGTGTTGTCAGAATGTTCAACAATACTTTAGATGTCATGTATGTCAGACTGTCACCACTTATATTTTGGCCCTCAAAAGATCAAATTCAGGTTAGTCTGCCCATGTGTTTCAGGGATCATTTTAGCAACTGTACTTCCATCATTGACTGTTTTGAAATGTTTGTAGAGAAGCCAAATAATTTAAGGGCACGTGCACAAACATACTCCTATTACAAGCACCACAACACTGTAAAATATCTAATTTCTATAACACCACAGGGTGTTACATCCTTTGTGTCAAAGGGCTGGGGGGGACGCACAAGCGACAAGTATATTACAGAAAACTGCTCATATCTTGAGAAATGATCACCAGGAGATGTTGTTCTTGCTGATAGAGGCTTCAATGTGAAAGACACTGGGACTGTATAATGCACAGTTGAAAATACCAGCATTCACCAAAGGCAAGCAGCAGCTGCATCCACTGGAACTTGAATCCACAAGGGGACTCGCTGCCGTCAGGATCCATGTGGAAAGAGTCATTGGCCTGGTCAGGAACAAATACACCATCCCGCTGTCTCTTTGCCAAGCAGCCACTCAAGGACAACCTACTTCCCTTGACAAGATGGTAACAGTTTGCTGTGCTCTTTGTAATGTCTGCCCATCTGTGGTACCCACAGAATAGATAGATACTATTTGTAAGTCGCTTTTGATAAAAGCGTCAGCTAAATGAGACAAAATGCTTATTGTGTATTCCCTTTTCTATGTATGTTGGATCTTCTCTCTATTATCTTTACAATTAATACATTAAAATGTCCAGTTTTTAACTAATAAACATCACTTTTTCCAAGTATTTGTTCCTTGGGGTTTTGTAAATACTCCTACAATGCATCTGCAAGTATTAGATACTAGGGGTGTAACGGTTCACAAACATTTCGGTTCGGTACGTACCTCGGTTTTTTGGTCACGGTTCGGTTCGGTACGTTTTCAGTACAGCAGAATTTTTTTTCACAAAACAAAACATATATATATATATATATTTTTTAAAAATTATTATTAAACTGTGAATAATGTATTCACTCAAATAAATACAAAATATAATAAAATAAACATTAAGGTGCAGCATTTCGATGAACTGAAATAATCTGTATTTGAACTTTACTGTAGGCTACTAGTACTCACAAAACATAAACTATTAGTTTTGGGTTTTTAATTATTATTAAACTGTGAATATTCACTCAAATAAATACAAAATATAATAAAATAAACATTAAGGTGCAGCTTTTCGATGAACTGAAATAATCTGTATTTGAACTGTACTGTACTAGTTCCTAAGCAGCCAGCTTGACATTATGACTTGCTTGTCATTGTATTTTCATGTTTTTTTAAAGAAAGATGAACTTGTCCACATTGCTTGCCGAAAGGGCAGATCTGCTGGCACTAACAATGTCTCCTGCTGTGGAGAACACCCTCTCGCTAGGGACAGAGGTAGCAGATACAGCCAGGTAGCGCTTTGCTAACATGGCAACATAAGGATATTTGGCGTTTGTAATAGCTTTGGTTCGGTCTGAACTCTCTGCGAGTGGTGGAGGCTTAAATGCTAGTGGGAGTTGGGTTTGCACTTCAGTCTTTTTTCTTTTGGTACCGGTGATATTCACGTTCGGGTGATGCCTTTTCAAGAGTGTGCAAGTTTGATGTATTGCCAGCCGCGTAACCAATGTTAGTTGAACAATGCCGACAAACAGCTTTGGTTCGGTCCACCTGTCTTTGTCCGTCATCCTTGTACGTAACTGCAAAACCAAAATGTTCCCAAACCGGAGACTTCAATGATGCTGGAGGATTTTCGAGCTCAACTTTATCTGCGTTCGCCATTAATTTTCGACAGTTCCTCAAATTACTGACTACATTTGAACGCATCCCTCTGACCAGCTCTCATAGTATGCCTCTCATCCAATGAAATGACTTGCTCGCTCTATGACGCGTTGAACCCAATGTGACCAAATTACTCTGAATGCTGCGACGCAGCACCTGAGATTACTTCCAAAAAGTTGTTCACGTTCTCAATTTTTTACGTTAAACGTTATATTCGTTCGGTACACTTCGGTACACACCTGTACCGAACCGAAGGGCCCGTACCGAATAATTTCGGTACGAGTACGTGTACCGTTACACCCCTATTAGATACAGTTATTTATTGCACAATCTACAGTGTATGAATATGTAAGCTTAATGGGTAAACAAAAACCTGACCATGAAGACAAAAGCAAAAGACCAGTGTCTGACAAGAAGAGCTTATTTATTGTCAGCTTCTTAATGTCCCTCAGATGTTTTGTCAGAGGTTGCAGTGGGGGAGAAGCGTGGCACAGTAAACCATTTACCCAACAACTCTGGTAGTATCCCTGTTCTAATTAAGTTTACCACCTTTGAATGTGCAACATCAAAAAAAGCGTCATCAAACATGATGCGCTGTTTAAAAAGTTCTTGAGGTGTCCACACAACAAAATCACAGAACATTACCTCTGCGACACGCATTTGTGCCTGCACTTGATACATATAGCTGTGATTCAGCTTTAGGCTCATCACACCTCCCTCAGGGACAGTCAGGCAGAACTGCGAGTCTTTGGTGCATTCAAGTAGACTGCAGTCTTTAGCGCTGAAAGGACACTTAATTTCTAAAATGCCAGGCTCATGGCAAGCACAGGTCACGACACCATCTGGGGATGCACCAATCCATGGCAGCTCTGGGTTGAGGATGAGCCCTGATGCTGCAACATTGATGTCTTCATGGTGATCTTGCATAGCCACCAGGTAAGCCTTTGTGGCAGTGTCCTCGTTTTGTAAACCCCATCTGAGGAAAATAACATGTTATTTTGGAAAAAAACTCATCGCTTTAAAAAGCCCCTAAAATACTGTTATTAGAATGTTAATATCTTGTTTTACCCTCATAATATCTAGTTACTCAATTATTGTATTTATTCATGATGAAGTAGTGGAAAGAATGTATGATTTAGTCTTGCTGCCTAAATGTATATATACCTGGTCGCTTCAGTGGAAAACTGAGGAGCGAGGATAGCAAACTCTTTTAATCAAAGACGAAGAGCTCTCTGTCTTGGCTGCCTCATGGAAGGATGACGCAGTAACTCTCCCTGCTCTCTGCTCAAACCAGACCCTCGACCTACTCTTTTTCCTGGTCTTCTCCTCAACTAACAAATACTCAAAAAGAATTGAACCATCAAAAGAGCTGTAATTATCAGAAAGCAGTGAAGTTATTCTTAATGAATATAGTGATGTTTAGGATTTAGCATTGTGACACGCTTTTATTTTACCGTAAGCCATTTCTATTTCTTACCTGCTCTGGTGTGAGATTCAGCTCCTCAAAGACTTTGGCACCCTCCTCTAGCAGTGCAGGCAAATCCAGTACAAGTCTACTGCTTTGATACAGACTGGTAAGGGGTGTTGGCAGATCCAGTTGTACAGTCTTTGGCGTACGTATCTGTGGGAATGGCCTTCAATGACCGACAGGATAGCACTTTTCTTGGGCTTTGTCTCTTGTTCTTCACTTTGGTGGAGTTGTTCACAGAATAACTTGAAATCATCAGCAGATGGTCTCATGTGCTGAAACAGGTCTTCGGCTTGAACTTGTTCTTTAATGGTGAAGATGTTAGACACCTCATCGTACTTCACCATTTTAGTGCTAGGCTGTGTCCATGTGCATGGCTTCTCTGTGCATGTCTGGTTTTCTCTTCTCAACAGCAGCCACAACTGTAACCATAAGTGCTGCTGCGTGGGAACAAACCTCTCCTAACCCTGCCATGCATGTACAATGCGCCATCACCACTGTCCCGTCCTCCTGCACCACAATCCATGGAGATGTTGGTTTGCTGTTCAAAGCCTGGGAAGGATTGACCTGTTAAGTGAAAAATGCAGTATATTAATGTTGTCATATAAAAGCTAAACTCTCCTAAGCTTGTACAAATGTAAGATTCAAAGGTTTATTGTCAAATACAATAGCTACAGCGTAGATTGGCATTTAATATCTGAAGTCCCAGGCTGCTCCAAAAGTAGGCTACAACATACAATATCCTTAAGACATAAAAAAACAAGTAAAGATAGAGCAACGCGAAATATAACAATAGTGCAAGTGACAGAGAATCGTGAAATAAACATGGACCTCTTGCTTATGTAGAAAAAAATAAGAATTAATTTGTCATTGAAAGAAGAGTATGTTGCTTTAAAACAATATAGCTAGCTGGAGTTATGATGTTAGCTAGAAATACCATTTGCTAGCAACTGGCTAGCAAGCTAACATCATCACTTTAGACATAAATACAACTATAATAACACGGTTTATGATTGTTGTTAAATTACTTACCTTCGCTGTGATCACATGTAGGTGTATCTTCTCGACATGCCATATCTTGGTGTCGTTCACCCACCCGGCAACGGCGTATTGATATGCATCTGTGCTCTTAAAAGCCTTCAGGCTCTCTCCGGTGAATGGAGATGGATTGTGAACAAGATACATATATATGTCGGGAAAAGTTAGTTGGGGAAGACACTTAGCCGAATTCAATAAACAAAATACAGTTGGGGGTAACAAATAGGGATCGCATCCAATAATCGCCGTTTTTAACAAATATCTCTCTCTCTCTCTCTTTCCCGTTTAAATGCACTGTGTTTGCTGCCATGAGGAGTGTAAACAAACTGTCAGAGTCAGTCACAAAGATGGAGGCGGGCATTCCGGAAATGACGTACTTGGTACCCATGAATACATATATTTATTCTTTACTGTCGGGTCACTTATTACAGGTTCAGCGAGCTGCACGAGCCTGACGAGCTGTCAGGAGAGGAAGAGGAAAAGAGAGCACCCCGTTTATTTTTCCCATTTTATTATCCAGAATTACTGTACATCTTTGAATAAAGTAGTTAATCTACTATTAGTAGTTTGTTTAAATGCATTAATTACGTTTTTTTTTCATTACATAAAATAAATCACACGTACCCCCTGCAGTACTCCAACGTACCCCTAGGGGTCCGCGTACCCCCATTTGAGAACCACTGTGATAGAGTATTCCTACACTCTAGTACTTCTACTTTTATTAAGTACAAGATCTGAGTACTTCTACTAAAGTACAATATCTGAGTACTTCTACTTTTACTTTAGCACAATATCTATACTTATACCACCTCTGTTTATAGCCTATGAAAAAAACTATTAGAAAACGAAGGCTAAAGCTAACGTTAGCAGATAGTGACAATGTATGCTAGCTAGCTAGCTAGATCAACGATTCCTTAAATGATATTGCGACAGAAAAACGTTTCAGTTCACATCACGCTCTGCCGCTCTGCTCTGAACACCTGAACGGCTCGTTCTAACAGCTGTTCACCAGCGGCTCAGCCTGTGCCACAATAACACCATGCTTGTCATGATGGCACATAACAGCTCGCGACCGCAGATTATTTCGGCGATTAGATAAAATGTAAATTATATTTGACGCACCTTTAGTTACATTTCCATTACTTTTCAAAAACTTTGGGAAAAATATTGTTTTCCATAACTTTTCCAGGGCCTGGAATTTCCATTTTGAATTTCCATGACTTTTCCAGGTTTTCAATGACCGTACGAACCCTGCAAATAATCATGGTCATACTTCCTCTGTTTTCTGCCAGACGTCTTCTCTCTCACTTTAGGTAACTTCACTAAAAATGTATCCATGTTGCCGCTCGCATAAAGTTAGCTGAAGTTAACTAGCTAGATTTCACTGTTTCTCGTTATTTTTTTCTCACGCTGAGCCTCCCCTGAAGCTCCCCGGGGTGGCGCGCCTCACACTTTGAAAACCACTGGTCTAGTAAATAGGGTAAAAGGGGACTAGAAAATTCCGAGAAATGTTGACTGTGTGACTGAAACTTGGGCGTGCGTCCCAATGCTAACATTGTCCCCGATGAGTAAGTATTAACAGCATTAGTTGTATTGTTAACCTGTTAAGCCCCAAAGACCCCTTCGGCGGATCTTTTTTTTTTTTTTACGACACTGTGTCTCAAGGCTTCTTAATATTAAAAAAAACGATGAATGTGTCATACCCTCCTAACGGGAAGAAACTCAGCTAACTGATGATACGAACCATTTTTACCGAAACAAAACACAAGTCTCACAAGAAGGGTCTAAATGAGCTCTGAGCGAAAACATGCTAACGCACTTAGCACAGAACTCTAGCTATACCGATCGATATACTTATTGGATCTGCACAAACAAGCTTAGCTAACATCCTGAGATTCCACAGATTATAGAAGTATAAGTATCATCACTGAGCAAATACAGACAACACACAACGTATTATTTATTTGTTGGACATTGTTGGGTAACACATTAAAGATGTTCTTTATAAAACGTTCCCTCAATGTTACATGATAACAAATGAAGAGCATTTTCAAAGTAACATTCTGAAAATGTTTTCAGGATGTTATTGAGGCTTGAGATGACATAAAGTGTTTTATAAAATGTTCCTTTAATGTGATATGTTAACAAAGGTGGAACGTTTTGCCTGCAAGATTCTAAGGATGTGTTTTGGACGTTGTTGGGGTAACACATTAAAGATGTTCTTTATAAAACGTTCCCTCAATGTTACATGATAACAAATGAAGAACATTCTCCAAGCAACATTCTGAAAATGTTTTCAGGATGTTATTCTTTTTTTATAAAACGTTCCTGTGATGGCAAATATTAACACGGTCATGGTCAACGTCAGATTGATTTCTAGAGTGCTTTAAAAAACAAACTTGTTGCATTTGTTTGAAAAGGATGTTTTAAAAAAAATCTGATGTCACCACATTTTCCTTTTGAAAAAAACAAACAAGCACGTAATTCATGATAAGCTGTAAGCAGATATTGCATGTTTGCGGTGGCATGTGTGAGTTCCCAGTTTGTTACCATTCGTTGTTCTAGGAATGTTTTCAGCGGGACGTTTTATTTTGGTTCCCAGAATGTTCTTCTGAAAGGTAGGATAACGTTCTCTAAAAACATTCTTGAAATGCTTGGTAATAATCTTCTTGAAATGTTTTTGATAACATTGTTAGAACATTATGCCCTACTGTTCTTAAAACGTTTTCAGCAGGACGTTTTATTTTTGGTTCCCAGAATGCTCTTCTGAAAGGTAGGATAACGTTCTTTAAAAACATTCTGGAAATGTTTGGTGATAACCTTCTTAAGATGTTTTTGATAACCTTCTTAAGATGTTTTTGATAACATTGTTAGAACATTATGCCCTACTGTTCTTAAAACGTTTTCAGCGGGACGTTTTATTTTGGTTCCCAGAATGTTCTTCTGAAAGGTAGCATAACGTTCTCTAAAAACATTCTTAACATTTTTGGTGATAACTTTCGATGCGATGTATGAGCGCATTGAGACAATGAATAGGATGTATAAAAACGAATTTATGCATGTCAATATTCACTCACATGCACTTATAATCACACTAAGGTATGTAGGCCCACAGTATTCATAATTTAATTTGTGTAAAATATCCGAAAATAATCACACTTTTTTCTGACTATAAAGGTTGTGTCTCGTATGTAAGTTCTAACTGTTAGATAAGCTATCTGGCCGTGAGTGGTTTGTGAGGGCTGTGTATACAGTAAACAGTGTCCGCTGTTTATGCATATTGGATACAAATCGCTATTGCACCCTTTAGATTTGAGACCGACAGACATATAGAGGAATGGACCGACTGTCACTGCCCGTCCCTGAAACCCCTGTTAGTGTTTGTATGTGTTTGTTTCTACTGTGTGTCTCTCTCTCTCTGCCTGCTGGTCTGCTCTACACGGCAGGGAGCAATCTCCAATCAACCACACCTGCAACCTGCTCATCAGCCACACTATGAAAGCCTGCAGCCTGCACTCATTCCCTGCCAGATTGTTGCCGTGAACCCTTTGTTGCGTGCCGCTCTAGCTTTTTACCAGCATATTCTTTGACAAATGTGCCAGCTTTTGCCTCACACTCATTGTTATGTCTCTCCCAGGAGGAATCCAAGGCCTTCCACACTCCCAAGATCAGCCAGGCCTCTCTACCCACCCTGGAACAACTGTTTCCCACTGCCGCCATAACCATGCCCGGCGCCGTGGGAGGGCCAGGGAGGCCCTTTTATGCTACGATGTATGTGATGTCAGAAAAAAAAAAAAAAATCGCAGGCTGTTTATTGTGCATTCTGTAGACTCCCATTTCTGTTTGAATTACAAAATGGACATCAAAAATTGGCTTAAAAGGTCTAAGGATTTATTAAAACGAAATAGCGATGAAAGAACTGCAGCCGATGGTACTGCTGGCGACCCTGCACCTGCCGTTGCAGCAGCACGCCTTAATGTCACAAGCTTGACCTTGGCAAACCCCGGGGCTGAGTTAGCGATGATCTTGGGGTTAATAAACCCAAGCAGGTGAAGCTGGATCGTTATCCAGGGAGATTGTTTTCAGGAAAGAAGCGCACTTTTGCCGCTGCATGGTACAACAACAGGAAATGGCTTGAAATTAGGTTAAATTGTTAACATAGGTTCAGGAGCATGGCCACGCCTAAAACTCCGCCTCAAACCACGGCCACCCCTATTTATATCCGGCAAAACTTCCGGCCACTGCTTGTCTCCATCCTTTCAAGGACTGTCAGCCAGACCGTGATTCACGCCGCGCGTCGTCACGGTTCAAACAAGCTAAACGCTACCACGAGAACATTTGACTCACCATGAATCCCGAACTGCTGATCATCTCGCCGGAGTCAGATGAAGATCTGCTACCCGCCATCCTCGGGTCAGCAGTCGGATCTAAGCCAAGCATCCGAACGGAGCCGCGTGCGCTCGGCAATCGGTGTCCCACACACCAGCCGCCACCGCTCCCACTCAAGCTCCCCCAACGAGATACCTCCAACTCCAGACAGGTTCCAGGCTTCGTCTACTCCGCCAGCGAGGGCAAACAACCGGGGCCACAACAGGCACAGCCAGCTCCAATCTCCCCACCACCGGCAGCCTGCCTCACTCGCAGCCCCCAGTCACTCGCAGCGGCGCACTCGACACTCCTCTCGGACGGAGCCGCGCTCCGAAACGGAGCCCGAACTACGGAGCCCGAACTACGGAGGTGGACAGTCATTCAACTCCAACGTTTCCTGAGAGAAAATGGCATCCACTTTCACCGAAACGACAACAAGGCTAGACTGTTCAATCTCTACAAAGCCTACAGCAGCACAACGGCAAGAACAACGACACACACAGCTCTTCCTGCTCCAGAGCCAACCACCGCGCGGCGCGCGCACCACGGGCCGTGACGTCACAGGCCGCCGTCCTCCTCCACGGACACAGCCCGACTCACTAGCACCCCCTGTCGGGGGCCAGGTCGTATTGCCCTCCGTGCCTGCTCTCTCTGTGTCTGACATGTCGCAGCTCATGTCAACCTTTCTCTTATCCCTGTGCTCACAGGCTTCACAAAATCCCCTTGCACATACATCCCTTCATCCCTCCATCCCTTCTTCTTCTCTACCTTCAGCGGTCCACAGCAACCCAGCTTCCGCTTACCTTCCTCCTTTAGCGGC